AACCCTTCAATAATAAAATAAATAATAACCTTATGAAGACGATTAGATCCCAACTTGGTTTAAAATTTAAAAAATCATAAATACACTCACCAAAGTACACTGTTTGCGAAAATCTCTTCCGACCCGTCAAACAGGGTAAAATTAACCCTTCAACATTAAAATAAATAATTACCCTATGAAGACGATTAGATCCCAACTTCGTTTTAAATTTAAAAAATCATAAATACACTCACCAAAATACTATGTTAGCGATAATCCCTTCCGACCCGTCAAACAGGGTGAAATTAACCCTTAAACTACAAATTAAATAATTAACCTATGAAGACGATTAGATCCCAACTTGGTTTTAAATTTAAAAAATCATAAATATACTCACGAAAGTACACTGTTAGCAAAAAAACCCTTCCGACCCGTCAAACAGGGTGAAATTAACCCTTTAACATTAAAATAAATAATTACCCTATGAAGACGATTAGATCCCAACTTCGTTTTAAAACTAAAAAATCATAAATACACTCACCAAAGTACACTGTTAGCGAAAATCCCTTTTGACCCGTCAAACAGGGTGAAATTAACCCTTCAATATTAAAATAAATATTTACCCTATGAAGACGATTAAATCCCAACTTGGTTATAAATTTAAAAAAATCTTAAATACACTCACCAAAGTACACTGTTAGAAAAAATCCCTTCCGACCCGTCAAGCATTTATAAGCAGGGTGAAATTAACCCTTAAACTTCAAAATAAATTATTACCCAATGAAGACGATTAGATCCCAACTTGGTTTTAAATTTAAAAAATCATAAATACACTCACCAAAATACTGTGTTAGCGATAATCCCTTCCGACCCGTCAAACAGGGTGAAATTAACCCTTAAACTACAAATTAAATAACTAACCTATGAAGACGATTAAATCCCAACTTGGTTATAAATTTAAAAAAATCTTAAATACACTCACCAAAGTACACTGTTAGCAAAAATCCCTTCCGACCCGTCAAACAGGGTGAAATTAACCCTTCAACATTAAAATAAATAATTACCCTATGAAGACGATTAGATCCCAACTTCGTTTTAAAATTAAAAAATCATAAATACACTCACCAAAGTACACTGTTAGCGAAAATCCCTTCCGACCCATCAAACAGGGTGAAATTAACCCTTCAATATTAAAATAAATAATTACCTTATGAAGACGATTAAATCCCAACTTGGTTTAAAATTTAAAAAATCATAAATACACTCACCAAAGTACACTGTTAGCGAAAATCCCTTCCGACCCGTGTACTTTCGTGAGTTTATTTATGATTTTTTAAATTTAAAACCAAGTTGGGATCTAATCGTCTTCATAGGGTAATTATTTAATTTGTAGTTTAAGGGTTAATTTCACCCTGTTTGACGGGTCGGAAGGGATTTTCGCTAACAGTGTATTTTGGTGAGTGTATTTATGATTTTTTAAATTTAAAACGAAGTTGGGATCTAATCGTCTTCATAGGGTAATTATTTATTTTAATGTTGAAGGGTTAATTTCACCCTGTTTGACGGGTTGGAAGGGATTTTGGCTAACAGTGTACTTTGGTGAGTGTATTTATGATTTTTTAAATTTAAAACCAAGTTGGGATCTAATCGTCTTCATAGGGTATTTATTTATTTTGAAGTTTAAGGGTTAATTTTACCCTGCTTGACGGGTCGGAAGGGATTTTTGCTATCAGTGTACTTTGGTGAGAGTATTTAAATTTTTTTTAAATTTAAAACCAAGTTAAGATTTAATCGTCTTCATAGTGTAATTATTTATTTTAATGTTAAAGGGTTAATTTCACCCTGTTTAATGGGTCGGAAGAGATTTTCGCTAACAGTGTACTTTGGTGAGTGTATTTATGATTTTTTAAATTTTAAACCAAGCTGGGATCTAATCGTCTTCATAGGGTATTTATTTATTTTGAAGTTTAAGGGTTAATTTCACCCTGCTTGACGGGTCGGAAGGGATTTTCGCTAACAGTGTATTTTGGTGAGTGTATTTATGATTTTTAAAATTTAAAACGAAGTTGGGATCTAATCGTCTTCATAGGGTAATTATTTAATTTGTAGTTTAAGGGTTAATTTCACCCTGTTTGACGGGTCGGAAGGGATTTTCGCTAACAGTGTATTTTGGTGAGTGTATTTATGATTTTTTAAATTTAAAACGAAGTTGGGATCTAATCGTCTTCATAGGGTAATTATTTATTTTAATGTTGAAGGGTTAATTTCACCCTGTTTGACGGGTTGGAAGGGATTTTGGCTAACAGTGTACTTTGGTGAGTTTATTTATGATTTTTTAAATTTAAAACCAAGTTGGGATCTAATCGTCTTCATAGGGTATTTATTTATTTATTTTGAAGTTTAAGGGTTAATTTTACCCTGCTTGACAGGTCGGAAGGAATTTTTGCTATCAGTGTACTTTGGTGAGTGTATTTAAAAATTTTTTAAATTTAAAACCAAGTTGGGATTTAATCGTCTTCATAGTGTAATTATTTATTTTAATTTTAAAAGGTTAATTTCACCCTGTTTAATGGGTCGGAAAGGATTTTCGCTAACATTGTACTTTGGTGAGTATATTTATGATTGTTTAAATTTTAAACCAAGCTGGGATCTAATCGTCTTCATAGGGTATTTATTTATTTTGAAGTTTAAGGGTTAATTTCACCCTGCTTGACGTGTCGGAAGGGATTTTCGCTAACAGTGTATTTTGGTGAGTGTATTTATGATTTTTATAATTTAAAACGAAGTTGGGATCTAATCGTCTTCATAGGGTAATTATTTATTTTAATGTTGAAGGGTTAATTTCACCCTGTTTGACGGGTCGGAAGGGATTTTCGCTAACAGTGTATTTTGGTGTGTATTTATGATTTTAAAAATTTAAAACGAAGTTGGGATCTAATCGTCTTCATCGGGTAATTATTTATTTTAATGTTGAAGGGTTAATTTCACCCTGTTTGACGGGTCGGAAGGGATTTTCGCTAACTGTGTACTTTCGTGAGTATATTTATGATTTTAAAAATTTAAAACGAAGTTGGGATCTAATCGTCTTCATAGGGTAATTATTTATTTTAATGTTGAAGGGTTCATTTCACCCTGTTTGACGGGTCGGAAGGGATTTTCGCTAACAGTGTATTTTGGTGAGTGTATTTATGATTTTAAAAATTTAAAACGAAGTTGGGATCTAATCGTCTTCATAGGGTAATTATTTATTTTAATGTTGAAGGGTTAATTTCACCCTGTTTGACGGGTTTGAAGGGATTTTGGCTAACAGTGTACTTTGGTGAGTGTATTTATGATTTTTTAAATTTAAAACCAAGTTGGGATCTAATCGTCTTCATAGGGTAATTATTTATTTTGAAGTTTAAGGGTTAAATTCACCCTGTTTAATACACTTCACAGGATAATTATTTTATGAATTTAATGGGTTGATTTTACCCTGTTCTGTTTAATGGATCCGAAGAAATATTTACCTATAGCGTATGTTAATGTATTTATTTTTTAAATATAAAATTAAATTGCGATCTGATTTCCTTCGTCGGATATATAGTTTTATCAATTTTAAGGGTTATTTTCAACAGTATATTAATTTTTTGTCAATATTAATGTGTAAAATACATATTGACAAGATTATTTAAATAGTTGTATGCTGGACGCCACTGTTTTTGCGATCGGGTGTTGTCGGTTATTTTTACTGCTAAAAGTTACTGCTAACTTCACACCGGTAAGTATTCGATACCTAAGTATTATATTTGTGATCAGGGTACGGTGCTTTATCATCACTAAAATGATACACAAGTATTATAGTAAAATATCAAATTATATAAATCATTAGAAGGATATCTTGAGTGCATTGACAATATTATTTTTAGAAATCGTTTTTGAAGTACTTCAAGTTGATTTATGTGTACACGTGAGGCTGCACCCCATACTCTAATACCGTATCTGAGATAGCTTTCTAACAGTGCAAAATATTGCAAAAATAAATTTTTATTTTAATTAATCATTAAATTGCATTTTCAACAAAGAACTTCTTTTGCTTATTTTTCATAATAATGTTCTTGTTATTTCATTTATTCATAGAAATAATTTTACATAATAAAAAAAAAATAAACAAAATTAAATTATATTTAAAAAACTATTAGTTTAGCATTTATAACCAATTCGCAGACGGAGGTTCTAGCTAAATATTAAAGTTGGCCACAAAAACGATTCTGTGTCGTTATTCAGTTAATGGATGCTACAGGCTTAAACTTCTTGTCAGAGTTAATAATAGATAGAATTTGGATAAAAGCGCTGTGGCAGCAGAATAACTCTTTATCTTATATCTATAAGAAAACCTATGGTGCAAGAAAAATAGTGCGAGAGTTTCAAGGCTGTTAAAAAAAAAGATGAAAAATAAAGGGAATTTTAAAAGAAAGTACTGGTTCGTTAGATTTGTACGGTGTCATATCTACCGCGCGATGGAAAGCAAACGAGCCTACTTCGATCCAATTTGGCCCGGCTCGTGGTAGGCCCGTCGCTCCCATCGCGCCATACAAATCTGAAGAATCTGGACCCGTTGTTGGCACAGGTTTCGCAATTCGCTCAAATGTTAAACGACTACAAGACTATTACAGCAAACCAGGAAATTTAGAAAACATATGTAACAGCTTAAAGTTGTCATTCTTTAAAATATTATTTATATAAGTACTACATATATTCAAATGGCGCCAAAATATTTCCGGCTCGCAGGCGTCGATAACCCTTGCGGGGGCCCTGTAAATAAATTACTATCAAAGGCTCAGAAAAACTGATTACCTATAAATAGAAAAGCGACTTTTGGTAAAACCATATTTTCTAAACTATTTTTAAAATAAATAACGCCGGATTTTTATAAAAAATATTGAATATTGGATAAAACAGTGTAACGATATTCTCATTATACTTGCATGAAATTTGAGCTTCTATGCTCTAATTAAACTAAAATACCAATCAGAACTTACCATCATTATATGAATTACATTGCACTTGTATTGCCAAATTGGCACATATCATCAACAGTAATATTTTTACTTCCATTTTGGCATACATATTATAATCTCCCTATACGTACACATGTATAAATATGTTATTTGTAAAAGTTCGCAACTAAATGATACAAAAATATCAGATCAGATCATGTATTTGATAAGATACCGACATTTATATTTTGTTTTTTGATCTCTGTAGAGGACTTCACTTAATTTAAAGTAATTATCTGGAAATTAGATTGATTGTCGATAAGTGTAAACGTTGTCTTTAAAGATAAATTATGCCTGCAAAATATACCTGTCTATACCTGATAACACCTTGACGATTTATTTCTTAAATGTAAAAGTATCTGTAATTGTGTTAATCTTGTTAAAAGATATAAAAAAATACATGGATCATCATTAGGGTTGCTAGAAAATGAAAAATGTGACAACCTTGACGACAGAGCATTAGGTTCAAATTTTTCGTAAAAACGAGGGTTTTTTACCCAGACATTTGTCTATTTTTGTATAAATCCGATTCCTCTGGGCCTTTTATTTAAAAAGCGTGGAATCTGCATAAAAAATGGCATTTTTTTTCAAAAGCGTGGCATTTTCGTACTGTGGCGTTGCGCGTACAAGCAAGTCAAAAAGCGTGGCAAATACGCCAAAAGCGTGTCGTCTGGCAACCCAAATCATTATAGAGACTGTGATATCTATTCACTTTTAAGAAGTCGCTGTCTTTAACTTTTAAAAAACCGATTTCAAAATCGTGCGGAAGCCATCATCACATCTAAACAAAATTTATATGGGACCAACCCTGAGGTATCCCCTTACTAACAAAAAAAGAATCATAGAAATCGGACAAGGTGGTAAAGAATTATTGCTAAACATACATAAAAAATGAAGAGTTTGAGGATTGTCTCATGGACCCAATTATTAGATTTTGACCAAATTTATATGGGACCACCCCTGAAATTCCTCCTTTCTAACAAAAAAAGAAATCGGACACTATGTTAAAGAATTGTCGCTGAACATATATAAAAAAAAATTACCGACGAATTTAAAACCTCCTTTTTTGAAGTCGGATGCGATTGTTGCAGAAATTAAGGACACTGCTATATTTTGCCTTTATAAGAGGCTTATATATGTTACGGTTAAAGTGTTTACTTGGCTAGTTTATAGACTAGCTGGATAGCATACAAACTATCCAAATGTCCTGCTATTTTGATAGAAAATTATATTTATACTAAAATAGCTATGAATGTTGGTTAGTTTGTATATTATCCGGCTAGTTTACAAACTATACAAGATTTATCGTTAAAGTAAATACCACAAGAAAATTAAACACAAATTAACCGATTTTTGGCTAGCTTACAAACTATCCACAGTATTTGGATAAAGTGTGAACTTAATATTCGTAGTAATACATAATAATATACATAATAATAATTCTGAAAGCACTCACTCAGCTCTCTTCATAAACGCGACAACTAGCAAAAGTGTAAAGCACAAACGTTTTGGTATTCTCTACTTATTGTGCTGTTCGTATTTGAAAAAAGTAAAGCGCATTCAAAAAAATTTACACAAGAGTAGCGTTTTGCTGTTGTACTTTAAGTTTTGACATTTAAGGCTAATATTTTCGGAAGTAGATAAGTCAAACATTAAAATATATATATACCTAAATATTATGACTTGAATATTAAAATGTCAGCAAATGTATGATATTTATTGTTTTTGATTCCTTAAAATTCTGAAATTGGCCTTAATATATTCTAATAGAGTTTATAATTGTAATAATGTCAAAATGACATTTAAATACTAACCTTAGATATTTAGACAAATCAGCATTTACGATTTGTAATTATTATGACAGCTTACAACAAAAATTAAAATCACATACGATTAGCAAAATCGTCTAGCATTAGAGCAGTGGTCGCCAACCTCTGAATGTGTTGAGCTACTTTGTTAATTTTGGAATAAACAGCAAACTACCCACACGGAAGCCACGTAACGCAACGTAAATTAAATAATCCACAGTTAATTTATCATTATATGTATTTATTTTACTATTTAACTGGTAATAAATAATACATAGGTACTAATAATAAACTAATAACAAAATAACTAATATTACTATTGCTGCGTTTGAGAATCCACATCGGATGCATCTGAGATTTAAAAAATCTTTGATCACGTGATTCAGTATACGTAAATGTAATGGGACAGATGTGTCCGATGTGGATAAAAAAACGCTCGAGATGTAAAAAATGCATCCGATGTGGATTCTCAAATACTTGTTCATAGCTACATTCCTACCTACCAAACGAAGGTGTTTGAAAAATAAACACAAACTTTTATCCAGCCACAACGGCATGTCACGTAAGATTTAAAAATAGTTAATAATAACAACAAAAAAGTAACGCACTATCATGAACATAAACATTGAAAAATAAAAAAGCACGTTCAATGAGAAGGCTGACACATCGATAGTTTTTTTAATCTTTGCAGTATAATTTGATACAGCCATTCGAATACAATTATCCAAATGTTCATCTGTAAGTCGATTGCGATATTTGTTCTTAATAAACTTCATATTGGAAAAAGAAGATTCACACAAATAGGTTGAACTAAATAATGCTTTCACTTTCAAGGCAACACGGCATAGAACTGAATATTTGTCTTTACTTACAATAGGCCAGATACATTTGGTACTTGAGACTAACGATTTTAAGGCTAAATCATTATGAAACTCAATTACTTCCATTTTTGTTGCAGCGATGTCTTCGCCAAAGTTCTGCATAACACAAGTTGCAAACTGTTGGATATCAATTTCCATAAAGGGTGAAACAACAAACTGCGCTACTAAAGCCATTTTTTTCGATTTTTCGATTTTTTTTTCGATTTTTTTCGATTTTTCGATTTTTTTTTTCGATTTTCAATTTTTTTGTTTTTCGGTTTTTTTTTATTTTTCAATTTTTTAGATTTTTCAATTTTTTTCAATTTTTTTTCAATTTTTGGATTTTTTGATTTTTCGATTTTTCGATTTTTCGATTTTTCGATTTTTCGATTTTTCGATTTTTCGATTTTTCGATTTTTCGATTTTTCGATTTTTCGATTTTTCGATTTTTCGATTTTTCGATTTTTCGATTTTTCGATTTTTCGATTTTTCGATTTTTCGATTTTTTGATTTTTCGATTTTTCGATTTTTCGATTTTTCGATTTTTCGATTTTTCGATTTTTCGATTTTTCGATTTTTCGATTTTTCGATTTTTCGATTTTTCGATTTTTCGATTTTTCGATTTTTCGATTTTTCGATTTTTCGATTTTTCGATTTTTCGATTTTTCGATTTTTCGATTTTTCGATTTTTCGATTTTTCGATTTTTCGATTTTTCGATTTTTCGATTTTTCGATTTTTCGATTTTTCGATTTTTCGATTTTTCGATTTTTCGATTTTTCGATTTTTCGATTTTTCGATTTTTCGATTTTTCGATTTTTCGATTTTTCGATTTTTCGATTTTTCGATTTTTCGATTTTTCGATTTTTCGATTTTTCGATTTTTCGATTTTTCGATTTTTCGATTTTTCGATTTTTCGATTTTTCGATTTTTCGATTTTTCGATTTTTCGATTTTTCGATTTTTCGATTTTTCGATTTTTTGATTTTTTGATTTTTTTGATTTTTTGATTTATTGATTTTTTGATTTTTCGATCTAGAAAATATCGTTATGGAAAGTATCGCCTATCTTTAGTTATCTACCGGAATGTGCCAGAATTACAAAAGCGTGAATTATCATAATTCACTCCGTGATATATGGGTACCATATGCTTTTAGTTAGGAGGTAGAATATTGATTCATTATTAAGTGGTCGTGGACAAAAATATTTTATTTTTACAGATGTCGCGAAAACATAATCGCATTCTTACGCAAAAAGAATTAGAAAAAACTGCGGAGACGATGGATATGTCGGACGAAGAACTCGATGTATCATTTGAAGATCCATTATATAATCCGGATGAAAGTAGCAGCGATTCTGATGAAAGTACTACAAATGTCTACACAACACCATCAACGTCACGACTATTGAAACGGAAAAGAAACATTTATGAGGCAGGGCCGTCATCAGCCGAAAATGTTCTATCCGAGTCTGATAATTCTGAGATAGAAAATCAAGTGCCAACTTGTGACGATGCAACTGATACTGCGAAAGCAGCTGTTCAGAAAACAAAAAAAAACTTGTACTACCTGAAACAGAAAAGTGGTTACCACCTTTAGGTAATCAACCTTACTTATTCAATTTGAAGGTACTGGAGGTGTTGATCCAGATGTTGCTGGGATCTAGCAGACTGTAGGCCTATTGATGTTTATAATAGTGTTGTCGATGATCGCATTTGGACCATGATTGTTGAACAGACGAATCTTTATGCCACTCAGCAACTTATGGACAGTGATACCACTCCACTGTCACGCCTGCACAATTGGAATCCAGTAAGTGAAGCTGAAATTAAGACATTTTTTGGACTAGTACTATGGATGGGATTGGTAAAATTGCCATCTATTAGGGACTACTGGAGCCGACAATCTATATACGACGTTAGATTTGGTAAATCAAAGATGTCTCGAAATCGATTTGAGCTCATTTTGACAATGATTCATTTCTCCAACAACGAAGAATGTCCCGAAAGAGACAGATTATATAAAATACAACCTTTGGTCGATATGCTCGTACACAACTTTCAAACCCTGTACACTCCTGATGAATTAATTTGCGTGGATGAAACAATGGTTCCCTTTAGAGGACGACTTGTTATGAGACAATACAATAAACAAAAACGACATAAATACGGAATCAAGTTGTTCAAAATATGTACTGGTATGGGCTATACCTACAACATAAAAGTGTATGCTGGTAAAAATGCCGAACTAGAGAAAATGGTTCCTGCTGATGTTGTTATGTCATTAGCGGGTGACCTGCTGAATAAGGGTAGAACAATGGTTACTGATAACTGGTATACCAGCCTAGACCTAGCCAATAGACTATTAGATGTTAATACACATCTAATAGGAACAATAAATCGTAAAAGAAGGGGACTGTCTAAGGACGTGGTAGCAAAAAACATAAAGATGAAGAAAGGAGATATAATAGCGAAAGAAAATGAACGTGGAATAACAGTTTTAAACTGGAAAGACCAAAGAAACGTGTTACTGTTGTCCACGAGACATTCAATAGAGCAACAAGAAGTAAGATATAGAGGAACAACTAAGCTAAAACCAAAATTGATTTTAGATTATAATAAAGGTAAAGGAGCTGTTGATATTTCCGATCAAATAGGTGCCTACAACAATCCTTTACGTAAATCATTAAAGTGGTACAGAAAACTAGCTTTTGAATTACTACTTACCACTGCAGTAGTAAATGCACATATTATTTACAAAGAAATCCATAACGAAGATCTGTCCATAACTGATTTTAAAAAATATCTTGTAGAGCAATTGACTTGTAATCTCGAAGATGTTCCATTGACTACACCAAATTTAAAACATCATTTACAAAAAAAAAACCGGATCAAGTCATATAATAAGGCGTTTTTATTCTAACTGTTATAAGATAATATCCCAAAGAGATGGAAGAAAGGCAGCTCAAAATAAAACAAAAAAAGTAACAACGTTCTGTTCCGGGTGTGTAGGAGAACCATCAATGTGCTTAGACTGTTTTAATTTGTTACATTAAATATACTGTTTTAGTTTTATTTGTACCGATTTGTATTTACAAAATATAAAAAATAAACACTTATTATTCGACCATACATTTTTTTTTTTTTTCACCCAGGGACCACATATTTATGTGAACATAAATTTCGAGGCCCATTCACAAATTATAATTCCCCTGGACCTTGACGGTCCGCTCATACCGTTAACCATATTGTAACTATGGTTCAACGGTCCACACAGTCATTTAGAATGAGGTGTGTTATGACGGTCCCCACGGACCAACAAGGTCCAATTTCAAAAGAAATTGACGGTCCGTAGGGACCGTCATGGCGCTTAACGTGTTAAATGCACTATTTTATTACAGTTTTGCAACACACCGTAATTTTTTAAATCATAATTAATTTAAGTAAACTATTATGATAGGAATAATAAATAAATACAGACAAAGCGGACAATTTTTATTCACAATCAGACATATAGTTTTATATATATAATATTATTTTGATATCTTTAAATATAGAAACAAAAATAATATAGCAGGCAAACAGTTATATGATAATAAATGTTTATAACCATTTTTAAAGTTAGGCAGCACATTTGCTTATAAGTTTTCAGAGAAACACAGGTACATGAAAATATTTTTCTTCTCCACAGTTTTTAATATGCCAAGTAATCGTCATCATCATCATCATAGCTATCTTCATTTCCAGGTTCACCCAAAGCATTCACGAATTCTAAAAAATAAGTAGAAATTATAATTTCAAGATTAACGCACTGGAGAAACAACCCTATTAAATATCTCATTTAGAATAATTGAACAATTTTGATATTAGCTTATCAATATTTTAAAATAACGCTTGAAAATGTAACTTTTCATTTAAATTTATTTAAATTAATTACATTTAATTAATTTTTGTTTGAATTTTTTGGTACTGTTTTATTGTAGATAAAAATAGTCGTTGTTGTTATTGCTATCGTATAGTGGTTAGTGGGTCTAACGATTTTGATTCTATTAAATTTTTAAAATGTACTACATGATACGATGTTGAAGTGGGTGAACTTTGACTGTCTGATCATAGAGGACATCATTTAAAAACAATCTAATGGAATTTATAGTTGAGAGGCCTTATTCAAAATGATCGAAAACATTTTATTACCACGTTATTCTAATACTTTTAGGTACGCTTTTTTTATGGTTAATTTGTAGCTAAATTTCAACTCTATCACTTAGATTTTGAGTAAAAGTAATAAAAATAAACATAATCTTATTTTACGGATTTTATAAGGATTTGCTTTGGAATATAATATTAAAATATTTTCGAAAATTCTAGCAAACTAAGATTTTATTATTTTGTAGGCACTTGTTTTTGGGCTTTTATAGGTACACCAACTTTCCTTAGATAGGCACCCATTCAAGTACTAACTGTGCGCGGCCTTGCTTGAAATATATATTATACAAGGTGTCCTATTAGTGCGTATTTGCTCAATAATAAATTTGTGTTATAGACAGACAAGTTTCAAATAAAAGTTATATGGATTTGAAAAAGGCATATTCTAAAAATATTTTTGGTTATACAGAATGTTACATTTCTGCCTTGAAAATAAAAATGTTTATTTTTTTAAATGAAACATCCTGTATTTTATTTTAGTTTTAAAATGGTCTAGTAATACTATATTCAACGCTAAAATATTTTTGAAAAATATTACAAGATTACCAAGCAATATTTTTTTTTGAGAAATTAAACAAATTATCATAAGTTAAGTAGGTTATAAATGATTTTAAAATTGTTTAAAATGCAGACTTATTAGATACACACCTAACGAATAGTGAGGAAAGAACTGGTTCGTTTTATACAAAGTATTTTAAAACTTGTTACACCTAAATATGGTTCATTTTAAGTTCAATTTACTCAAGTTTGTCAAATACAATGCCCCGTAAATTATTTTAACATTAAATTCGTTATAATTATTGTACCTATCCAACAATACCAACATGTTAGCCTATTATACATATAAAGGGTGTCCCATCAGTGCGTTTTTGATCGATAGCTGTTTTATTATTGGAGATACAAAAGTTGTGAGAAAATATTGTACAATTATTCTTAAATCTACATATTCATAAATGAGAGGCGAACCAAAAATATTTTTTTTAGATTAAACCATCTGGACAACATATTTGGTTGTTTTCACATCGTTAAACAATTTTAATAAACTTAATGTTCTTAAAATGTTTTCTATTTGATGTATACAATGTGTGACTAACCGCGAGATTATAATATTATCAATTTTTTTAAATGCAATACACCTTTTTGTCATACCACCAATTTATAAATACATTTCCTAATTTTTTATTTAGTTTGGCATTCGAAAGAGAACCCAAACGCATTTTTTCTCAAGATTTTGATGGTTTTATTATAAAAATGAGTAATTTTTTAATTTTAATTTGCTTTACAAACTTTGGTCAGTTACAAAACTACAAATAGGTAGTGTAACATTTTAAAATTCTTCTAAAATGTTATTTTGAATATGGGACATCCTGTATAAAATTGGAATTAAAATACTTTATAATTTAATTATCGCCGCAGGCAATATTCCAGAGACTAAATAGCCAAGTTAATAATTTTTTCTGCGACCGAAACATTCATTTTATTTTAATTCAATTTTGACGTCTGATTGAGACTAGTCGGGATTCAATACCGTCCGTTTTGTTTCTTTATTTTTTGTTCAGGGTTATATTGACTATCATTTTAACTAGGGTGGGCGTTGAAATATATCATTTTTATTAATTTTATTGTGTAAATAGTTATTCACAATATATGTGTCAATGTTAACTTACTAATTCCATACTTTATTTTCCCCTTGTATTTCAGCTAGTGTTAAATTCTGTACCAGCCCAAGCAACGATTAAAGCCCGTTACTTGTGGCTTACCATTACCTGTGTCTAAGTGACCTTTGACCCTCGTAAAGAACCGTTTACTCTGTGGCAAGAAAACCCATTACAAAGGGAAATTTCACGAAGTGAGAGATTTATTTGGGCACTTGATGTTAAATGTTTTTTAGAAATTCATTTTAACATTATATCGTTGAATCAAACATAAAGTCTTTGGCTGCGACTAGCGGTGAGTTATTAATGTCATTACAAAAGAACTCAGTAGAAATTATATTTCTACTTTTTGTTAGCTATAAGTTTAATTTTTGAAAGTCAATTTAGATTTATCAAATATAATTTAGTAATTCCTTTTGTTTTGCTGGAATTACACATTTGCATTAATTAATTTTATATTGTTGGAAATTTTTATAAAATAGTTGTTTAAGAGTTTGATTTATATCTTATACAAGAGCTTCGCAAGAGCTGTGGCAACAAATAATCAGGTGATTTCTATACAATTATTGTAAAATAATTCACAAGGTTAAAATATAAAATTATCGTACGATAAAGATTATAATGTAGTGTTGGTACCAGAAAAGATCGGAAGCCTGCATCTGCCTGAGCAAGAACAGGCTACGTATTGTAACAGGGATCCTTACCGGGCATTGCCGACTAAAAGGACACTTAAGTAAACTGAGAGTAGTATAGGATAGTGAGTGCAGATTCTGTGAGGAGAAGGACGAAACCTTCATCAAATCCTAACTGAATTATAGGTTTCCAAAATCCAAGGCTATACCTAGGAGGATATCGAATAGAAGAGGGAGATTTAACTAACTTGAAGTCACTTCAAATCCTACACTTCCTTAAGAAAATAGGATTGGAAGGGTCGTTATAGGCACTGAGACATTTCCTTGGTGCATTGGCGACAGAAGGAGACACAATAGATCTTTTAGGTCGCAGTGTATTAACACTCCATTCCCAACATAACATAGTGCTGGTACCAGCAAATAGGATCATTTATGTTCATGAAAATTTAGGTATAGTTATTCACTGCCAAAATTGCATTTCCACAATTTAAAAATAAACAAATTTATTTATATACTTCTTATTTTTTAAAGTTAAAACTATTCTCTGTTTTCTTAAATTTTATATAATTTTGAATTATTTGTCTTTTTGATAAAGCTAAAAATATACTAACCATCAAATTTCCAATATTAGGCTGACCTGTTAGGCCACACGAAGAAGAAAGGGAAGAAAAGAAAAAGATGAAGATGGCACTTACAGAATGGGTTTTCCGATTCGGATATCGTCGTGGCAACATTGAAATGGCGATCTCCGAATCGGGAGTCCTGAAATTCAATGAAAATCACAAAATATCTGGTATAAAAGTGACCATCCGACTTTAAAAAGTGTACTGAATTAAAATATTCAGTGCCAAGACTATAGAAGAATATTTAAATTATTTATCTTTGCAGTGGAAGAGTGAGGACACACGAGGGTGCAACTTTTCCACTTAACAAAATTTAAAAAAATAACAACTTGGGTAAATAATCCTCAAGTATTGAGCCCATAAAAAACTAAAGAAGAAGAAGAAGAAAAAGAAGAAGAAGAAGAAGAAGCAGAAGAAGAAGAAGAAAAAGAAGAAGAAGAAGCACTTACAGAACATTAACTAAGTAGCACTGCTTGCTTAAGAATAATAGATCAATAAAAATATTTAATCCTTACCGTAAAAATCTATTCGTCCATCGCCATCTACGTCAACTTCTTTTATCATATCTTCAACTAAAACAAAAACAAAATATTAATAAACGTATTCATAAAATTATGGATTGGTGAACAAAATGTGATGTATGCAATGGCAGGACAAAAGTCTATGAACTCGCTCGGGAACGACAGAAAGCCAACAGTGATAAAGCAGAAGCTAGAATCGACAGGCGTGTCACAGGGACACATTTTCAGAGAGGAGACCAAGTGTGGCTGTACAGTTCCAAGCGCCGAAAACTGCAACAACTGGGAAGGCCCCTACACCGTCCTCAAAGACCTAATCTACCGGATTCACTTCTCAGCATGAAGTAAAGCCAAGGTAGTTCACATTGAAAAGTTAGCGCCATACCGTGGTCCAGTTCCTTCCCGTTAGTTTCAACAAGGTTCCAGTAGTCAAGTTATTCGGGGCGAATAACTAGAGAGGAGAGAGCAATGTTACGCAGCACCCTGCAGCGTGCTGCGGTCGTCATAAGTAAAGGTTCGAGTAAAAAAGGAAGGGGGAATATTCGAGAAATGTCATGCTACAAAATAATAATAAAAATTTTATCATAAAAAGAAAATTTTAAAATAAAATCTCAAGAAAAATCTGGACAGTTCGAGAAGGTTAAAGCAAGCTATATAATTTGATGATCCTGACGACAGTCAGTTTTATGATAAGAAAAACTCACTTTTCACCAATATCCCTTTATATAACGCGCGATCCACAAAACATGTTTTTAAAGTAGCCTTGACGACAGCAAATACATAGATACGAGTCATGTAGGTGATAACCTCAGATAAACAAATGAATAATAGATGCCTAACGGTCTGGATTTGTTTGAATCCAGTATGAACCGTTTTATCTATTACTTTCTCTTTCTCCATGGTCTTCGACGTGATTCGTCTATTTTAAATAGCAGCGGCAAAATTTTCTCACAACTGTCAACAAGCAGTTGGGAATTGTCAATTTTGATTTTAAAATTTCTGTGTTTTTATGTTCCCAGAACGCCTTAATAAAGTTTTTCAGTTTCTAGTGTGTTTTTTAAACGATATTTTTAAGGGTAAAAATGACTAAGAAGTGTATTATTTGTTCTAAAAGATACATTTTGGGTGGTTCTACCTCCTTTCATTGGTATTAAGTAAATAAAACACATAGGCGGCACCAGACACCATTGTGTAATTTTTTTAATTTAAGTATTGGTATATTAATGTTTCAATACTAATGTAGATACTACGTTATGTACCTAATTAAAAAAGAATATATCGCACCATCAATACACAATACCCAAAGCCACTCAAAAAAATCGCAATTTTGAGTTAAGATACAAAATTCAAATGCAACTTCACCAGACATTGTATTCTATTCCAAATTTAAGGCGTATTAATTAATATTACTTTGCTTCTTCATGTAAACATACACAGTTAATTTTAACAGCAATTTTCTTGAAATGCTACTTTTCTATAGTTGTGTTAGTATTGCCACCTATTGCATTGATTTAAACATTGATGGTGCGGTATAAAATGGCAAACCATATTGTCATATTATTGAAACAGGTAATTAATTATTTATTTTTTATGCAACTTTCCAACAAACCTTAAAATAAGAAAAATTTGGTTTCAAAACCTACAAATAGGAACTGATGAAGTTGATAAAATCAATAAAACCTCCAGAATATGTTTACTTGAATGCTCTCCACACCAAACCTTTTTCCTATAATTCTTCAGTTCCTTTAGTGCCATGGCGATGATGTTAGTATAAGCCAAGAAAATACAGGGTAAACTAGCTGGTACGTGATTGGCTCCTTATTAGTGACTTCCTATTGTACAACTTTTTCCAATGCAAGTTCCATGATCCTTTGAACTTGGCTGCACCGTACTGATGAAGACCACTAGTCAGAAACACGTGACTACTGTTCACATTCCCTTTTTTTTTGTAATTTTTCTTTTTCGGGAAATGTCCACTATTACTACCTTGATGACCTTCGCCCTATACCTTTTTCCGTTTATTAATATTATTGTTTTTAGAATCATGTTTTGTATACACTATTTATTTTAGTTAGTTGATTTCTATATTTTTTTAAAAAATCCCTGTATTTCCTCTATTTCCTATAAAAGTTTAATTCATACAATTAATTATATTAATAACTCACTGCTATTGTTATATTAAATTCTTTAATTCCTGTGATTATACTTGTTTGACAAAAATCGTATGTATTAACATTTTTAATGTTTGGATCTTCATAGGCTAGAACTGCACGGTAAAACCACTCCATTTTATCTTACTCATCAAATCAATAAATTGTTTTTATGTTTTTAATATTAAATGTGATTTTGATACGAAACATAAATGTTAGAGGGGTTTTCGAAAACTTTAAATTCTCCGTAAAAGCTTAAGTTTTTGCCCTCATGGTATTTCTGAATTTATTTTCGTTAATATGGTATACATCATATGACATCCTTTTAGTATTTTATTTAAAAAATCACTGACTGAGAGTGATGGACTTTTTCAAAGCATTCAACAGGGTAAATCAGCTACTTTTAGCTAAACTTTTTAACATGATTTTGTGAAAATGATTGAATAGTATGCTTGTTTATCAAACTTGTTCTGAATAAACATAAATCAACAGTATATAGATATGTATACCTACTGTAGGGTGACCATGTTTAGTTTAGCCCAATGCTGGATAATACAACATTGATGATGAACTTTGATAAGGTGAAGACTTTTTTTTAAGTTTCCAAAGATATCATTCACAGAGAAATCACGTCGTGGACCGGTGGACCTATTTTTTAGATTAATACAACAGAGAAGTCATATGTATTACGCTTTTGTCTTATTTGTTACATTTCAGTAAAAAGGGTTGTACAATTGCTACGTTTAAAAAGTACCTCCTGGAGCGGAGTAGAGTTAGATTTTTTAGTCACGTGATCATCGAAATTATGTGAAATAAAAGACCGGCTATGGATTTGGTTGTTTTCGGTTTTCATTAAAATAATAAACTTAAACCTTTCTTTTAAATCAAATTTATTGTGAATTTTTAGCTGTGATATTTTTCGCCTTTTGCTTTCACTAAAAAATAAACCATGTTCTAATTTCTGTCTGAAGTTTTTTATTAATATTTCTCTCTTAAACTTAATTCGGAGTAAATAGACGTACCAGCTCTGCATTAAAAGACCACGGAGCAGATATTATCGAGAAGCCACAGATATAATAAAAGAACGACTTCGAGTAAAAAGAGGTTACTTTTCAAACGCAGCAAATATAGTGAAATGCTGTATGTATGGTTACCCTAACCTGCTGTAGTATTAATAAACTTTGATGTAATTATAATTATACTTAGACTTATTGTATCCTGATAATTTTATTATATTGTCGAAATGCCAGGAGGAAGACTGCCATTTTAACATATAATATGCCCTAACCTAATAGATTGCACCGAAAAATGGCCTTTATCCCTATTTTTATTATTTTTGTATTTCACAATCTACACACGAACTCAAATATCGCTACCTATCAAAGAGTTAAGTTAAAACACATAGAAAGCTATTACATTACGTGTTATTTCCTTATAATTTCATTAAAAAATAGCGTAGTTTACTTTTTGTAAAATAAAATTTTATGTTTGAGTTGCATTTTTCTTTAAATCCGTCAGTTACAAAGTAATCCTTCGGGATTCCGATGAAAAAACTACTTGATACGCCCATGTAGACCACAGTACCACAGCTGTCAAAAGTTTGTAGATACTGGCTTCAAACAAAGCCTGTGTTAAACGGAGCCCGTTCGGTATCTATTTTTCATTTGTTTATCTGAGGTGATAACTACTTATGGTTCTAAATTCAATCCAAACTGTAATTTAAAAAGAAGAATAAATGTACCCTGCAATAAAACTACTTTAGAAACATTGTTTGTGGATCACTCCATCCAGAACCTTACTTTCTTCTTCTGATAAATCTTCTCCAAGACACTGCAATACAGCTCTAAGGTCGGAAGCAGAAATATATCCTCTGTTATGCTTATCGAAAACTCTAAATGCATCTCTAAGTTCTTTTTCTTCTTCTTCTAGAGATATCGTATGATTAGGGTCACATCCTGAGTTTGCTGACCAAGCTATATCGACAAACTCTTCGAAACTGACATTGCCGTCACCTGTAAATAAAAATTATTTTTTACAAAAAAATAGAATTACTAGTGTGTGCAATAAGAGTGGATATGATGGTCATATCGCATGTAGACTAAATTTGAGAATGACATAGTAGGCATAGTGTTCAATATGAACGTGCGCCTGAGTGCGATACGAACAGTTCGAGTTGTACAGTATATTTTTTTATGACTTACTTAAGGGCCAGTCTTTTTGCCTCTAAGTAAAGTTAATAGTATCTACTTGCTGATTAGACTGTAGGCTATTATAGTTCGCTAATCTTCCAAGCAACCCGCTATGTGTAGTTTAACTCAAAAGTGAAAATATCTGCCCTAAATATAATTAACAAAAAGATTTGAATTTCTGTTTACTAGTAAGATAAAATAAACCTGAAAAAAATAAATAAACATTTTAATTTGCCTTCATTCTAGATTTGAACCCCGAATTTTTCACATGGAAGTTTATTTTGCGTTATTGAATTGGTTTTAGATAGTTTTAATGAAATGTACGGGTTCTTTGTAAAGTATACTAATAAATATTTTGTGGATTACCGTTATTTATCGATTTTTCTTTGCACTTATTTTTGATTAAAAGTAACCTTATCTAATAATTAAAAATATACTGAAAAACTTATCTCTTACTTTAAAAATTACAAAAAAATATGAACTGAGATTGCTGGGTTTAATTATTCTTACAAGAATGGATATACAATTAGATCAGTTCAGTAGACTGACATGGCTTACATATTGTGCATAAAGTACATAATATACATGTAGGTGAAGAAAATGAACATTTTAGTGACGCGTCGGCAGAAATGTTTTGGAACCTTACATTAAAGAGACCGGAGATGTAACATTGCACATCGCGCATGTTGTCAATTCCAACCTTAAGTAACCCACCAATTAAAAATCATTGTTTCCACGTCGCCACTCGAATTGATCCGACATTTCTCTTCTACGCTCATCTCCGCTCGAGTGAATCATCATGGACCGCTGTTTTTTGAATTTATGTTGGTGTTATTAGCGATTTAAAGTGCTTTAGTTATTCAATTTCAAGTTGAAAATGCTACGATGTATCGTGAAAAATTGTGTATACAAATAATATAAGTGCCAAAATGTTTTGAAAAATAAGAAATATATTCGTTTTCAACGGTAAATATTTATTAACGATTTGACATAAAGCCGCCATGATCCTTTGGGTTAATGGGTTAAATACTTCAGATCCGCATTAAGGGGTTTCAATAAATATTAAGCATCAAATATTTCGGAAAATAGATTTCATTTGACTATTTAATAATTAACAGTGCTTTAGGTGTTATTTTCAATTAATTTTCTTGTTTGAAGTCTACCTAAATAAAAAAAATTGATTTGAAAATAATCGATAATATAATCGGTTATTTTATATAATCGATATTTCGGTTATTTTTTTTTAGAATTATAGGTTTATCGGTTAATCAGCTTTTTGGTTAATCGATTATTTTCGATTATTTTCGATTATTTTAGTAAAGGGGCTATGTTCATTCTGCCTCATTCCCCATGTTAAATCCCATAAGAAATCGCTAAGGTTCATTCTGGCAATTTTTGACGCTTTCAAGGTCACGCGTCGAAGTTCGAAGTCTGGGTTATCAGTAAACATGATAACGTTTGATAACGTCGAGAATCCAAGATGGCGGCAATAGTTGACGTAAACAATGAAAAATATACGGGGTAAATGAAAAGTCAGAAGGGCCTTAGCATATATCTCAGCTATCGTTGGTTCGATTTAAACGGGAAAAACGGCATTACGTAGAGATCGTGGTATAGATTGACGTCGAAAAGAATTTTTGCGTAGAACGAAAAGCCACAAGGGCCTTAGCACGTATCTTCACTGCTATTTGTCCAATTCAAACGGGAAAAACGGCATTATGAAAAGAATGATGAACGTTGAACAGAAAACTCATGTGTAAAGCCAGAAGGGCCTTAGCGTATATCACGTGGTCCGATTTAAGCGGGAAAAACGGCATTACGTAGAGATCGTGGTATAGATTAACGTAGAAGAGAATTTTTGTGTAAAGCCAGAAAGGCCTTAGCGATTCAAACGGCTACGTGTAGAGAATGGCATCTGGCTGTCATTTTGCATACACATGCGCAGTTCAAGAGTCAGTTGTCGTTTGTCACTTCATATCTTCGTTAATATCGATCGAATTTGAACGTTGAAAATGGTAGATGACAATGTCATCTAGATGGCATGTGCACATGCGCAGTTCAAGGGTCAGTTCTCGCTTGTCACTTTATATCTTCGTTAATAATATCCATCAGATATCTTGAACGATGATGGCGATCATCGTTCACGTGAACTAACCATATACAAGATGGCGGAGTCAAAAGAACCTGTCAACTGTCAAGGTTCATTGCTATTGGTCGGAAAGGAATGAGGAAACAAACAGTTGATGTATTCGTTACGTTTCGTTGCGTTTCGTTACGTTTCGTTACGTTTCGTTACGTTTCGTTACGTTTCGTTACGTTTCGTTTCGTCACGTTTCGTCACGTTTCGTCACGTTTCGTCACGTTTCGTCACGTTTCGTCACGTTTCGTCACGTTTGGATACATTTCGTTACGTTTCGTTTCGTGGACAAAAGGACCTAAGTCTCGGTGGCATGTCACCAGGTGCAAAATGGTCAAAAGGATCTTAGGTGGACAAACGGATAGACAGACAAAAATACAGATAAAAGGACAGGCAGACGGAAAGAGGAGACAAATATACGGTAAAGGATAAAATCATAAAAATTCGTATCTATCTATCGCTAAGTAAGTAAACAATGTCAAATGTCAAAATGCTAGGAAGGGGGAAACCAAAAAGGTATAAACTTTGGAGGAAAAAATACTAAGAAATCATACAGAGAGCAGTGAAGACCTAAGATGATGTAGAAGCCAGTACAGGCCTAAGACGAAGAACAAAAAACTACTGAAGAAGAAGAAAAGGAAGAGTGAAACGTTAAAAGGGTGATATCCGTAGAAATTTATAGAAAAAAGAATGGAAAATCGTAGAAATCTTTAAAGAGCCATAGAATACACGGTGCTGCATTACCAAAGGGGCCATAGTTGGTTAGTACAGAAAATGTTATAACCAAGGAGACTTTACTTTTCTGGATCAATGAATACGGGAAGGTAGCAGTCAAAAGTTCAGTATTTGAGAATAAGTCTAAGAAGTCGTATTGTTCGTATTGTAGTCATACATCATCGTCGTTTCCTTATTACTTACAAGTACAATAAAAATACTCTACGTTTATTGTCGATAGTAAAAAGATAACAAAATACTCTTCGTCCATTATCGTATGTAAACCTGTGCAGTACGTTATTGTCGTGTCATCGTCTTAATCTTTATTAAAAATAAATACAACAATTACAATATATACCATCTTCGTTTGTACTCGATTATTTTCGCATTTAAGATTTACAACCTGGAAAATCATCTGTCAAACATTTATTATTACCATCTCTTTTTTTTCAAGCTATCAACCTAAAAAATATCGCAGCTATCCAACCATTGTCATCTCTACAGGTTTTTGTGTCTATTCAATATTCTTTTTAACCTAAAAATATGGCATCTGTCATCTGTCACTATTAAAAAACGTTTGTACTCACTTTTTTCGTATATTATTATTTAGTTTCAGTATTTTTGCATCATCTTCTGTCTCGTATGACTCGTTAAATCCAATAAAAAGGCCTCATTCATTTTTAGAAAGTAATTATCGATTGCTTTTATATTTAGCATTTCTATCCTAAAAATATGACATCTGTCATCTGTCACTATTAAAAAACGTTTGTACTCACTTTTTTCGTATATTATTATTTAGTTTCAGTATTTTTGCATCATCTTCTGTCTCGTATGACTCGTTAAATCCAATAAAAAGGCCTCATTCATTTTTAGAAAGTAATTATCGATTGCTTTTATATTTAGCATTTCTATCCTAAAAATATGACATCTGTCGCTATTAAAAAACGTTTGTACTCACTTTTTTCGTATATTATTATTTAGTTTCAGTATTTTTTGCATCATCTTCTGTCTCGTATGACTCGTTAAATTCAATAAAAAGGCCTCATTCATTTTTAGAAAGTAATTATCGATTGCTTTTATATTTAGCATTTCTATCCTAAAAATATGACATCTATCATCTGTCACTATTAAAAAACGTTTGTACTCACTTTTTCCGTATATTATTATTTAGTTTCAGTATTTTTGCATCATCTTCTGTCTCGTATGACTCGTTAAATCCAATAAAAAGGCCTCATTCATTTTTAGAAAGTAATTATCGATTGCTTTTATATTTAGCATTTCTATCCTAAAAATATGACATCTGTCATCTGTCACTATTAAAAAACGTTTGTACTCACTTTTTCCGTATATTATTATTTAGTTTCAGTATTTTTGCATCATCTTCTGTCTCGTATGACTCGTTAAATCCAATAAAAAGGCCTCATTCATTTTTAGAAAGTAATTACCGATTGCTTTTATATTTAGCATTTCTACCCTAAAAATCTGACATCTGTCATTCATCACTATTAAAAACGTTTGTACTCACTTTTTCCGTATATTATTATTTAGTTTCAGTATTTTTGCATCATCTGTCATAAAAAATCCAATATAAAAAGCCCCATTCTTAGACATTTAAATACACTTTTTCATTAATTACTGACATTTCAGTATGGTATCTTCGCTTATATTGTATCTTTCATTATCCTAAAAATATGACATCAGTTGTTTTTTCAACCCAAAAAGATAATAGCTATCGTTAAAGACATCTGTAAACCTTTGTACTCACTTTTCCCCTAATTATTGACATTCATTTGTTACGATATTCGTACTTATTTAGTTGCTGCATATTTCTAAAAAATAAGACATCAGTCAGTAAATTCGGTTAGTATTAGCACCACTAGGTTATTTTATACTATCTTCTGTCTATGCTATCTTCATAATATTCTCATTTCTGTTTTTAATTACATCTCTCATTAAATCCATTAGTATTAAA